CATTTTGAGAGGCCAAGGAGGGTGGATCACATGAGGCCAGGAGTTGGAAACCAACCCCATCTCTACTAAAAACACAGAAAATTAGCCGGGTGTTGTGGCAGGTGCCTGTAGTCCCAGCTACACAGGAGGCTAAGGTAGGAGAATTGCTTGAACCTGGGAGGGGGAGGTTGCACTGAGTCTAGACGGCACCACTGCACTCTATAGGCAACAGGACAAGACTCCCTCTCAAAAAGAAAAAAAAGTTCTGTGTTGTTTCTTTCTGTTGCTTGACCCAAAGAATGACCTTAGAACTCTGCAGGGATATAGTAGAAGAAATGAAATATTTTTGTTTGGCCATCTACTAAATTTTGGTTCTGCCAAGCACTGAGAAGCTAAAGGAGAAATGAATTTTTCTGAGATGGGTGTCCAAATGGAGAAGAATTATAATAGATAATTGGGAGACTTGTTGGAGATTGTTGGGAAGATGCGGGAAGTTATAGCCTACCAGTAAGAGAGCCTTTAGGAGAAATGAAGGAAATGCCTAACAGGAATCTCTGAAGTTTGTAATCAGGTGTGCATTGTAGTCCTCTCTGTTCTGTCCTTACAAAGCGTTGTTAAACTTAACATTTCTCAGAATTTTACAGATAAGACTTTTTGGGAAGATCGGAACAAGAGCTGAGTCTGGTCCTAAGGTCAGAGATTCAGTTACCATCACAAAATCCATCTCTGATTAGGAAATAGGATTAAAAAACAAATATACTCCTCCACTCAGATTACAGAGAATGGTGCCTATTCTGCTTCCATATTTCGAAATCATAAAATAGAGTGTCTTAGACTGTGTCCTGGCATTATTGCTCAGGTTCATTTTCTTTTTCACTGTGATGCCTTCTCTGCTAGACTAACCTTTCCCTGTCAAACCCTCCCTTTATAGAGGAGCAGCACATCTGTGTTTGTGCTTCAAAACTGGGTAGAAAGTATCCACAAAAGGTCTATACCGGATTCAGTTCTCCTTTGGTTTGTGCAGAAGAAAGGACAACTTTGTAACAGTTTATTTGTAACAGTTTATTTCATGGGGTTGTGGCTAATCATTTATGTGGAAAAGCCATCTAGACATTTTACTGTTTTGTTTTTAAAAACTGGAGCCATTCTTTGCTGGGTAAATTTATAAAATTTAGCGATGTTGATAGTTTTTCTTACTCTCTTATAAGGTTATAGATATAGACGCATAGATATACAGATATCACACTAAAATGTATTTGATAGGCTTTCCTTGTTAAAAAAGAAAGGTTTTGTATATATTTATGTGAATACACTAAAAAGAAAGCATAAAGAATTCAGGATGTTCTGATAATAGCAATTTTAATGTGATTTCTCCCTTGTTGCAGAACTCCCTGTGAGACTCATTCTTGCTGACTGGTTACGTAGAAAAAAACAGACTAAATTGTCAAAAATTTGATGTAAAAATTTCAGCCTTTGCCAAGCACTGTGGCTCACGCCTGTAATTCCAGCATTCTGCGAGGCTGAGGCAGGCAGATTACGAGGTTAGGAGTTTGAGACCTGCCTGGCCAACATAGTGAGATGCCATCTCTACTAAAAATACAAAAATTAGCTGAGCATGGTGGTATGCACCTGTAGTCCCAGCTACTAGGGAGGCTGAGGCAGGTGAATCCCTTGAACCTGGAATGTGGAGTTTGTGGTGAGCCAAGATCATGCCACTGCACTCCAGCCTGGACAACAGAATGAGACTCAGCAAAAAAAAAAAAAAAAAAAAAATCCATCCTTTATGGCCTTCTATCTCTGTGAAGTTTGTGGTACTTTTCTTTATGAGATGCTTTTTAAATATTTACACATGAGATTTAAAAAATAATTTGGCCATGCCAACATTTACTTTACAGTGCCCTGTTAACTCTGTATGATGCTTCTAGGACATTGCTCTGTGAAAGCCATGTGTGGTAGGAAATATAGAGCTTTTAGGGAAATTGTAAATAGAAGACAAAATACTTGAAAAACATATTGTAGGACAAAATTCTAAAGTGACCTTCAATGACTCATGCCCTTGTATAATTCTCTTCATCAGAGTGTGAGTGGGACTTGTAACAGGATGAGAGATCATGCTCATGATTAGATAAGATTAGATGGCACAGGTTGATTTAAAAAAACTGAATTCAGCTTTTGTGGGCATGATTTTTATCTGGAAAGCCCTTACAAGAGATAGGGTTCTTCCTAGCTAACGAAGTTTGAAGTATTTGAGGGACTTAATGTGAGAGAGATTCTCTGTTGCTGGCTTTGACAATGGACAAATGCTCACTGCAAGAAATTCAGGCCGGGCGCGGTGGCTCAAGCCTGTAATCCCAGCACTTTGGGAGGCCGAGGCGGGTGGATCACGAGGTCAAGAGATCGAGACCATCCTGGTCAACATGGTGAAACCCCGTCTCTACTAATGGTGCAAAAAATTAGCTGGGCATGGTGGCGCATGCCTGTAATCCCAGCTACTCCGGAGGCTGAGGCAGGAGAATTGCCTGAACCCAGGAGGCAGGAGGTTGCGGTGAGCCGAGATCGCGCCATTGCACTCCAGCCTGGGTAACAAGAGCGAAACTCCGTCTCAAAAAAAAAAAAAAAAAAAAAAAAAGAAATTCAGCAGCCTCTACAAGTTGAGAGTGTCCCTCAACTGCAAGTCATCAAGGAGACAGGGAATTTAACTTTAGCAAAAAAGTTTTCAGCCAACAAATATGCTTGGAATTGTGATGAGATGCTACTTGTAACATAATTAAATTTGGGGCCAAGCATGGTGGCTCACGCCTGCAATCCGAGCACTTTTGGAGGCCAGGGCAGGCGGATCACCTGAGGTCAGGAGTTTGAGACCAGCCTGGCCAACATGGTAAAACCCCGTCTCTACTTTATACTTTTATATAAAAATTAGCTGGGTGTGGTGGTGTGCACCTGTAATCCCAGCTACTCAGGAGGCTGAGTTAGGAGAATCACTCAAACCTGGGAGGCAGAGGTTGCAGTGAGCTGAGATCTTGCCACTGCACTCCAGCCTAGGAGACAGAGCAAGACTCCATCTAAAACAAACAAACAAACAAACAAACAAAATTTGGTATCAGACATGTTTGCTCTTATTCCCATGCAGCAAAATTATTCAGTTACAAAGGTCTTAATTTAAGGCAGTTTTTGTTTATCTGTGACTTAATTTTATGGCATTGATCCCAGGGGCACCATTATAATGAGGGCCTCACATGCTTTAAGAAGATCAACATATTCTTTAATATTGATAGGTGACAAGGTAATGAACAAGTGTTTCCTGTCTGGCTGCCTTATATATCCTTATATATATATATTTATTTTTTTACATATAGAGCTGATTCATTTACAAATATTTGACATTTCTTTGATTCCCAACTAAACAAACTTGAAAACAATTTTCAAAAGTGTAAAGAATCTTTGAATAATATCAGAGCATAAAATGACATAGACTGACAGCAGAAACTGATAAGATTTTGCATGTTTTGTCATCTTAGACTATGGTGCTGGAAAACGGTTTTCTATATAGTTAAAAAATCAACATCAACAAAAAGCCTGAGCAATTTTTTTATGCTCTGTAACAATATTATTTTATCTCAATTTAGCATCAAAAGCACTGCATCTCTCCCCTGTCATTTCAGGTGAATATAATGCCATAATACTCTGTTATAATACTGAATAAGATATTGCTAACTTTGAATTAGCTTTCTTTTCTTTTGCTAATGGAAATTTATGAGGTTGTATAAAAATAATAATAGAAAAATACTGTCAAGTTTCTCAAGGCTCATAAATAATATTTGGTTTAACACTAAAAGTAAATTGCTTAAATTTTATTTTTAAACGTCTGTCCCATGTATATTAAAAGTTCTCCTGTTCCAGAATGGAAATCAACTATAACAAAAGCAGTAAAAATTAAGAGCTGAGGGTCTGGGAGACAGACTTCCCAGATTTGAATACTGGCTCCATTGCCTGCCAGCTGCGTGACCTTGGACCAGTTAATTAACCTCTTTCTACCTCTCTACAGTGTACTCAGCCTGTAAAACAATAATTATACTCACATATCTCTTATAAGTTTTTGGGAAAATTTAAGAATCTAATATACGTTAAAGTCCTTGAGTCTGTGTTTTGTATAGTCAGAGTGATATTGGGTTGTACCAAATGACTCCATGGACGTTTTCACATTACCTCCTCCAGGTTCACTGTTAGTTGAGAATCATGACTAAGTTTACCAAATCATGTGAAATTTGGCACATTTCTTCCCAAAGGGATGAGAATCAGTAAGTGGTTTGGACACCTGACAACAGGCAATCCACTGCCCAATCCAGAGTCTTCCAAAGTAGAGGTTGGCATATATTGCTTGATTTTTACTATTGCTGGGAGACATTCTGATTTGGTGCTATACAGAATTTGCTTCCAGTTAATGGGTAATTATCTCCTTCAATAATTAACGCGACGTTACCAAGAGGAGTGTTGGTTGGAATTTGCTTCTCCATAGAGCCCAAAAATAAAAATGTAGTAGTAATCTTAACTTTCTTTACTTATTAAACTACTAGTCATTATACTACTTAATTTACATTTATTAGCTCATTTAACATTTACAACAAAACTAAACACAAACATCAGTTGATGTTTCTATTTTATAGATCAGAAAAACGAGCCTCAATGTAGGTTACATAAAATGCCCCCTTGTCATGAAGTTTGCTTGCACAGCACCAAATTATAGCTGTGGTCAGTTTCTCTACAAAGCCCTGGTACTCACTCTACGTACAATGCCATGCTGTATCTCCTTAAAGACATATTTGCTGTGTGGCTGCTTAAACAAATATTTTTAGTAGAAAACATTTGAATATAGAACTGCTTGTATGCAGTGGATGAGCTTGACAAGATTTCACAGTTCCTGTGATTTGATGAAACATTATTGTTGACTCCAAGACCTGAAGTGGTCACATCACTCTCCAAGTGACCGCATTAATGATGTGACCCAAATTACCCCATCATACCTCCAAAATGTGGTGGTGGGCCACAGAGAAGCACCACACCTTGACCTTCTCGGACAGATACCGTGCTTCTTGTTTTAGTTTCAAAGTCTTCAATATCTTGGAAAACAAAGAAAATCAGATTTGTAATTAGTTACTTTGCAGAAGAAACATTTGAAAGAAGAATGTCCAGAGTATTTTTATTATTAAGGGGAATGAATACTCATACTTTGCTGATCAGAAGACAGTTGACAATCAGTTTAACTGCACTGATTATTATCTTGCAAAATCTTGTGCTTCTTTCTTTCTTTTTAATTAAACACAGTATGTGATAAAGACAATACCAACTATCTGTTTACTTTTGTTCTTCCAGTGTAGCCTAGCAGAAAATCTGTTACACCCAACACATATTTACAGGCAAACCTGTCCAAGGAAGGTGTGATTTTAAAAAGGTATGGCACAAGTTTGCTGCAGTCTTCCAGCATCTCAGATCAATGGTTGCCATTTTAATGTGTGGTTGGCGTCTATGAGAATTTAGGATGCAGCAGTGTGAGGGAAAGAGTTCTTTGTGACAGAACCAATGAGATAGAAAGTATATTTTCAATTTTCTCTTGATTTATTCCTTTACAAAGCAAGGTCATGATCTTATCTGGAATGTGGTGATTTCCTACATAATAGAATCACAGAAATTCAGAATGCTTACTAGCTACCTTGTAAAGCCATCCATCTGAGGCATACATCTTGCCATCTTCCTGAAGAATGGTCACCCATTCTCCTAAATTGTCTAACTTCTTTGAGCCTCGGTTTCTTTACCTTTAAAATCCTTTCATTCATTCAATCAGTTATTTATCGAATTAACCTATTAGGCTAGGTGTGGTGGCTCACTCCTGTAATCCCAGCAGTTTGGGAAGCTGAGGAGGGAGGAGTACTTTTGGCCAGAAGTTTGAGACCAGCTTGGCCATTATGGCAAAACCCTATCTCTAAAATTACAAGAATTAGCTAGACACAGTGGCACACACCTGTAATCTCATCTATGTCAGGAGGCTGAGGCTTGAGAACTGCTTGAATCCTCCACCAAGAGGTGGAGGTTGCAATGAGTCAAGATGGCACTACTGCACTCCAGCCTGGGAGTTGCAGCCAGACTTAGTCTCCAGCCTGGGCGATAGAGTCAGACTCAATCTCAAAAAAAAAAAAAAAAAAAGAAAAAAAGAAAGAGAGAACCTACTAAAAGACAGAAGTTGTATTTAGGGCAGAAGGTTTAGTTGTGAATAAAACAATAAAACAAGCAGGTATTTTATGCTTATTGTGCTTACTATCTAATAGGAAGATCAGAAGATTGTTTTAAAAATGAAAAAATACATCATTTACAAATTGTGGTAAGTGTTCTGAGTGCAGACTGAAATTGTCTACCAAGATCTACTCTCCCTTCTCCCATAATAGTAGACCTGTTGATCAAACCTGCTTGTCTAACCAGAGATTACATTTCCCAGACTTCTTTGCAGCTAAGTATGGCAAGCAAAAATGATGAGTGAAACTTGCACTTATTATGTTTGAGAGGAATCTCCACAAATTTTGAAGTTCCTGATCTACCTACCACCACTCCCACCTAAATTGCCAAAGATATGGGAGATCTTGAAAGCCACATGTTGAACACAAAAGAGCCACCATTCACCTGGATATTTGAGTGACTACCTGGAGTAGAAACATGGCTAACCTGGAACATCAACTTTAGATCATTTTATTACATATAAGTAAACTTCTGTCTTGTTTGAGGCATTTGTTTTTGGGTCTCTGTCACAACAGTTTAACTTCTTACCCAAGAGATCCTGTAAAAGCAAAGAAGAGAGCACTGATCTGATAGATGAGAAAGAGACAGCCATCCAGTGATGATAAGGAACAAGGAAGGCATTTCTTCCAGAATGAAAAAAACAGTACTAAATTTCTGGATGAAAAAAATGCAGGGAAGTCTCATGGTATTGAATAGAAGCCAGGGTTGTTAATGCATAATGGGCAAGGTTTCAATGAAAGTGTAGTAGAAAGCAGGGTATCGTGGGCTTTGTGTGTATAATATATTTGTTTTAAATTTAAAATATTAATAAAATGGATTGGAAATAATTTAATAATATAGCAGTGCACATCATTGAACCATATCTGGAACATGCATAGAATGTCCTATGGTTAAACATTAGAGAGGATACATCAAATCTAAACGGTTTCACTTGGAACATTCTTAATGTCATTATTTCTAAAAAAAAAGTCACTAAATATTGATGTATCATTATCCTACTATGGAAGAAAAAACAGTAAAAACCTAATATGAGCATCTTGTTAAATTGGTATAAAGTTGTAGAATGGACTTTTTTAAAAATGCACATTGGTTATCTTAGAGCAGGCGTCCCCAGACCGCGGCCCCCTGAGGCCATTAATCCGGCCCCCAGCCGCACTTCAGGAAGGGGCACCTCTTTCACTGGTAGTCAGTGAGAGGAGCACAGTATGTGGCAGCCCTCCAATGGTCTGAGGGAGGGTCTTTTTACACAGTGAACTGGCCCCCTGTGTAAAAAGTTTGGGGACGCCTGTCTTAGAGGAATGGATGGGAGATGTGAAAGTAGAGATTACCCATCATGTGTTCTAAAGATTATATATTGTACATTATTTTGTTTTGCTTATTTTTTAACAACCTTACTGTGGTCTAATTGGAATAATTATTGGTATTATTTAAAGGAATTCAAGAATTTCATTTTGGGTCTATTAAATTTGTATTATCCATGAGCTATCTAAGTGACAATATTACAAATAATTATAAAACAGGGGTCTCCAACCCCAAACCACACAGCAGGAGGTGAGTGGCAGGCAAGTGAGCAAAGCTTCATCTTTATTTACAGCCACTCACCCTCACTCACATCATTGCTTGAGCTCTGCCTCCTCTTAGATCAGCAGTGGCATTAGTCTCATAGCACACAAACCCTATTGTGAACTGAACATGTGAGGGATCTAAGTTGCACACTCCTTATGAGAATCTAATGCCTGATCATTTGTCACTGTCTCCCATCACCCCCAGATAGGACCATCTAGTTGCAGGAAAAAAAGCTTAGTGCTAAGAATGGGATTTATCAGCATATACATCATATTTGAAGTCATAGCTATCAAGGTAAACCTGCCGGGGTGACTCTTAAACTTTTGGCATGAGCAAATTGGTGGACAGTTGTCTTGGAGCTAACCTTGAAAATATCTATATATAGAGTTAGAGAACCATAGAGATGAGTGAGGGTGGGTGCAAAAAGCAACAACTAGAGGTGGAATAATATGTGAGCATACAAGATAAAACATGTTGGTCATATGTGATCATGGCAAGAAAAGTTTCAATAGAGTTTGGGGAAGAGAAGTGGATAGTAGATAGCAGATAAGGACATGGAGGTCACAGTCATGAGAACTCTTGAGTTCGCTATGAATAAGAGGTGAGATTTAGGAATAATACCAAAGGGTATGGGGGGGTAAGGCCACTATACTGAAATAAATGATCAAGTAAAGAAAGAGACTGATGATTCAGGACACAGATAGAATAAGGTCCTTGTAAAGCCTGAAAGGTGATAATGAAAGCCCAGTGGAAGGATTGGCCTTTGTAAGGAAGGAGAAACCAAAACAAAATATGTGCTTATGTAAATGGACTGTAGAGTTTTTGCCAGGTTAGACGAGAAGGTTTTTGGGGGTAGTTTCAAATTTTTCAATCAAACTGATGGGAGAGTGTTAGCTAGATCATTTACGAAGATAAAAGTTGCAATGAACATACTTATTTTAGCAGGGTTGTTATAGGGATTAAATAAAATAATGAATGTAAAGTATCTAGACTAAAGCCTGGCATATTGGTAATTACTACTACTGGGTAATGGTAACTACTATGATTATGACATTCCAGGTAGTTAGGACCAATCATTACATTTTCCTCTGACTGATACAAAGTTCAGATACGCTAATCTAAAAATACAAGATAAATACCACATTCTAGTTCCAATAAAATTTTTGTAGGTAGATGATTTTATTTGAAACATCTACGGTTTATCTCTGCTAACTATATTACTTTCCATATCAATGTTTTTTTTGTAAACATTGTTTTTCAATCCATGTAAAGTATTAGTTTAATAAAATAGATTCACTGGTTCTGACATGTAAATTTAGCAAGTCTTATATTTTCTATACTTTTAATAATAAAAGTATTTGACTAAGATAAACTCTACTGATCCTCAGCTACACCCACTTCCCTTTCTCCACCTGCTCTCAATCAGTAGTCATTAGCTTTATACTAATCTGGGACCCGGCATGTCTGCCATGTTTCTCATAGAGGAATTCACATCAAATATGCTTCCTTTCTTCTTTGGCCATGGAAAAACTAAATCAGCCTACATATGTTGGCGCTGTTGATGTCAACTATTGCCTTGACTTGGGAGTCCTTTATGACTTTGGTTTGCATCAGTTTAAATGTGACTCCTGAACAAAAATCAGCCTAATAAACTTTATTTTAAAACAAAATAAAAATAACATACTGAGATCATCGTTTCTATTTCTAGTAATAATCACCCTAGGTGACAATTTTAAGGGTTTTTTCCTTACTATTGTTTTTGAAAGGTCCTGAGAAATTGAACGATTCTATGAAATTAACAAGCTTTGGATTGAATTCTCTCAATGTCACATTGTCAGTGCTCTACAATCCCAGGAACATCAATCATCTTTTCAGTGTTAATCAGAAGTCATTATAACACACTGTTGATAAGAACACTGATACGTTAATATATTCTGTGTTCACTTCCAGTTAAATACCATACGCTTGTGACATAATTTCTCTGTGCCTTTTATGATTACAATGGCATTTCTATTAGCTGACATGAAAGGAAATCAACGCCTCTCAAAAGTCACACAAGTCCTGTTAGCTATCAAACAATCATTCCAAAATGTTACTAGTTCACAGGTTTTAATTAATAATTTACATTTTAAAGCTGATTAATAGCACATAGATCATAGACAAGATATAATTTTGCCTTATTTAAACTACATGCCATCCTACATGAATATGCTTTGAACAAAGTCTATTGTACATATCCAATCTGTATTTCAAATACCCTTCTGCT